AAATACTTATTTGCCCCACTGTATTTGTGAATGAAGAGTGATGGGGTCTTAAATGAGGACACAATGTTCTGCCAAAATCAGCAATGTTTTGGTTTTATTTTGGTTATTTCATAGGAGCTACTTCCATGTCTATGCTTTTTTCTTGTTTTCAGTGGTCAGGGGCTGATGAAACACATTTATGAGGTGTTACTTTGCATGCTGGGATATAAGTAAATAAAGTAAGAACTTGTGGAAAAATTCAGGAACATATTTCCATTGACAACATGGAGGAAAACATGTTAATAAAAAGGTAGTTGAAAGCACTGAAAAAAGAGATGTCTAAATACAGAAAATGAACTGCATTATTTGGTGATGACAGCCGCAGTAGTAGTAGTGGCAGAGAGGAGCAGGGCAGTCGGACTGCAGGTCAGACTCAGACCTGAAGACCTGACCCAGATCTGAAAATGTCCCCCAGAGCAGCAGAGGACAGATGCTGAGCAAGAGAATTCTAACTAACTCTGACTACAGTCATGGCCAAAAATATTGGCACCCCTGAATTTCTGTCAGATAATGCCCCATGTCTGCCAGAAAACTGTTGCAATCACAAATTCTTTGGTATTCTCATGTTTATTTCTTTTGTTTGCATTGGAACAACACAAAAAAAGCAGAGAAAAGCCAAATCTGATCCATTTCACACAGAACTCCAAAAATGGACTGGACAGAATTATTGACACCCTCAGCTTAATATTTGGTAGCCCACTCTTTGGACAAAATAACTGAAATCAATCACTTCCTGTAACCATCAGTGAAATGACTGCAACAATGTGATTGCAATACTTTTTTAGGAGAAGTGGTGCATTATCTGACAGAAATTCAGGGGTGCCAATATTTTTGGCCATGACTGTATGTGCCCATTTGGTATCAAATACTAAGTTAAAAAACAAAAAACTGCCATAATGCATCATATGAAACAAGCATGTTCCTCCAGGATGAGGATACAGCAGCTATCTCTCATTGAGTACTGTTGTTTAAGAAAGAAAGAAAGAAATACATACGGGGTGACAAACAGACAGAAATCCCTGAAAAAATGAGTGGTCTCTTCCAGGATGGCAGTGCTCCCATCCTCAAGGAGTCACTGAATGGTTTGATGAGGGTGAAAATGATGTGAATCATATGCTGTGGCCTTCACAGTCAGTATGTCTCAACCCAGTCGAACACCTCTGGGAGATTTTGGCCAACATGTTAGGTGGTGTCTCCACCACCACCACCATGGTGTTCATCCCTCCAGTAGTGTTCCAAGACTTGGAGAGTCAATGCCAAGGTGCATTGAAGCTGTTGTGGTGGCCCAGCACCTCACTGAGACACTTCATATTGGGCTTTCCTTTTCATTTGACACCCATCTGTACAGTGTACCCTACTGTATATGAAGCACAGCAGGCATTTGTGATACCCCAGCATGAATATGCATAAATAAAATAAATATAACCCAATTTCTCACCTAGTTAGTCTTTACTCCAAATCATACAGTAACACTGAAAACATGTTAATAAATTCCTGGACTGTGTGTTTGTAGTTGTGCCCCCCTCTTTTACATTGTTTTCTCATACTACAAAAATGTTTGTTAGTAAATGAAACAGCAACATGCATTCTCCATTACACCATAATGATGATGTTTGTGGGCTGTAAGGTAACGTTAGTCAGATTTAACTATGTAAGGAGAAACACACAACTCTACAACGACACAGTTCGACTCATCTTACCTTATTTATCTGACCAAGGAACAAATCTTTGGCATAAGCGAGGTTTCTCGAATGAGTTTTTATGGACCTCCACTGCTGCAGATGTAACTTTAGCACTTCTTTCCCAGCATGCCTCACATCACAGGCGAGCAGCCGTTGTGCGATTTGAACAGATTTAGACAAGGAGACAAGTCTATTTACATGAATCATTTTTCTGACATGAACCTCCAATCCCTGTAGTGCACGGGTGCAATCACAACCGGGAAACCTCTCTGTCTCATGCTGATGACGACACGCACAGCTGTGTAGAAATACATTCAATGACCCTCGTAAATATTGAATTTCATTTCATCAAATATGAGCAGGCTGGCAAGGATTTACAGCACATCAGTTTAAAAACATATGCACAAAGGATCCTTTGTCTTTGCAATTTATTTATTGATTCAAGGTTCCTAGCAGAATTTCATACAATGTCGATGCAAAGTGTTAGTATCATGTTCGTCAACTATTATTGACAGGATTTTTGAATATCCATCTTATTATTGTAGATGTGTGCCCACAATCCAAAATGTCCTTCTCTAAATTTGACAACCCGCAAAACAAATGCTGTATTTGAATATATCATATTTTATAAATCGGCTACCTAATTCCTTAGTTATTGTTTATGAATTAAATTTTTCATCACAAAGATCTAAAGCACATAGTCTTTCGTTTTTATTCATAGCTGTTCAAATTGTTCTTCACACTACCAGGAAAAACATTATTAGGAGTAAACGCTTGAGTATTAAATAGTTTAAAATAGGCTGATTCTAAAAATTATTTTAACCTAGTAGCCTATGCATTATTAGCTAATTATCCTAGTGCTGAATTTAAATTCCACTGAGCACTGAGTTTGCAGAATAAATAAATAAATCCGTCTCAGACCATAAATATAGAGGATATGACTTCCTCGGTAGCCTTTTCTAAATGTTGGGATCAGAGGAAAATCTGTTAATTTCCCAGCAATCCTATTATGTTTTATGTGTTCGCTTAGCTGTTGTGGTGTTTCCAACAGCACATGAACATAGCAAAACAGCACAGATACACCACTCGGTGGCGCAATGTGCAAAGCAACTAAGCGCAGAAGGCTTAATAAATAAAGACTGCAGCAAAATGATGTAGAACCTGGTCGGATTTAACACAGTGTAAAAATCCAGAGAAATAATTATAGCCACCAACAAAGACATCAAATCGTTATAAATAAAAAATATATCATACACATGAACAGAAATAAGAAAAATAAAGAGCTAAATAAACAATGCAAACTAGTCTTTGCTGGCAACAGAAAGGAAGTCCTGTGTAAGCCCCTCCCCGCCACATGATGACGTCCTGCTGACACTATGGCCTTCAAATCTAAGATCTATTTTTAGCTCCTACCTCAAGGGCTGGACAGACAAACACCAAACTGTCAGACCACCTGGCACAGTTAGACAGGCAGCCAAGCACGTTGCAAGACAGAGAAGAATTAGTGTAGGCCTACTGCTGTTTGACCTTCACTAGTAGTGACGCTTTCAGAAAATTTAGTTTAGGTTGATACTTTCACTAAAGAAGGCCTCTATTATTATTGGATACCCAAGTAAGGAGGAAAACACAAACATGTCTGTAACATTTTAGGGCTGGGCCATATAGCCACTGAGGACACAGTCATATCCTTTGTATTGTTTCTGGGTATATGGGGATTATAAAGGGGAACTCCTCCAACAGAAATTTTACAGATGGGGTCAATTTACTTCTTGGGGAAGCTACCCTGTGAAAATAGCTGATGGTGTTATCATGAGTATCTCAGCTTGAGCCAGGAGAAAAGCATATGTTACAAACCGGCACTGTATTGTTTCAGTGATGTGCAAATGTACCAAGCAAGAGAGGGTCTAACAAAAGACGTTAGTGCATTTAGAATAGGGTGGGATCCAGCAAGATCTAAGAAAAATGTGGCCCTAGGAGTGTAGGAGCACTTTGATATAGAAAACCTCTATGTGGTCCTTAGGTAGCGAACTGTAAAACCACGTTTAGATAGAAATGCTTACATGTAAGGGCTGTCCTATGACTGTAGGGAACACTAAAAGAAAAGTCCACTGTCTATCCTAGACTTACCCAGTCGTTCAGCTGAGACACAAAGCAGGGACATTTAGATGCGTCTCAGGTTTTACAGTATATCATTTTATTTTGAGTCCTCAACATCGTCACAGTACTAGTTTTACATCAGTAGGGTTTTGTCTACGTACTGTAGAAATCAAATGCATAACAAAATAAGAGCACTCCTCCCTTCCCACTGACTTTAAAAGTGGGCTGTGAGTGTGAGAGAACAGGAGCTTTTCAGGAAGCAAGTCAGAAGTGATGTTAACTGTGTACGCTGTTCATTTCTAGATCCTATGATAATTCAATCCTGCGATAGGCAGAAAGATGCACTTTGATGATTATGTAAATACCAGAGGGGAGCTGGAACTGCAGACATTCAGTAAATAATAATAATAATTTACAGACTATTTATGTTTTCTCACCCACCCTTAAAATATTGCAACCGGTTTTCATGCCCTCATTAAGTAACATTTCCCAGATTGGTTTGCTATTTATTTACACTCAGCAGTAGACTGCTTTGTCTTTATACTGTACAGTGGACATAGAGGTGAAATGCATGCTGAAGACAAAACCTGAAATGAAAAGACAGCACTGTAGCAGGCCAGAAAGCATCTACATGTAAACAAGCATCAATCAGAGAAATCAAAACTACATTATAAGTTTGAAAGTTTAGGGTCTGGTCAAGCCTGCTTCAGAACAACACTTAAGGGAAAAAAGAAAAAAGAAATGGTAGGCATCAATGGCATGCAACAAAGCACCTCACACGGATTCTGGACAGGTTTTACAATAGCTCAGTCTTCTGAAAGAACTGGAAGGTAGTGACTGAAAACCACTTTCATATGAAAACACACATAATGTGGAGAACCATCAGTATTTAATAAAGCTTGGCTTCTTCTTGTCCAGTGTTTTAACTGTAGTCCATAACAACTAGTTAGGGATCAGGGAGTTGTAGAAGGCCAATACAATTTGTTTCCAAATTTAGGTGATATAAAACTGATTTAAAAAGTTGCAATAGTAGCACTTTCTTGACTCTATACAAAATAAACTATGCAAAATTAAATGCTGGTCATAGTGGTCAAATATTAGATTTAGAGTACCCTGCAATATATAAAGTACTGCAAAATACATTTTGGATCATAACATTTTGAAACTGATACTACTTTGTAATAACATACCTATCATAAACATTTTATAAGTTATAACTACTGTTTTTATTAAGGGCAAATATATCAGTAATAAACCACTGAGGGGCACAACATTTACATTAATTGCCAGGTTGAGAAAAATCTCTATGGCTGGTGTTTAGCAGAAGTGGTAAGACCCCCAGATCCTTACCCTTTTTTGACCACTTTAGCCACAACTATTTGGCATTTGCTGTGAGAAATGTGGGAAGCCCTGCCCAGCATGACACATTCTTAGATTTTATTTTTACCAAGCTCTAAATTCATTATGAAGATTGTTTGATCACTTAAAACTGACCTAGAGTACAGATTCTTGTAAACAAACTAAAGTTATGCTTACATTCAGTGTTTATATACGCATGAAGTTAAACAAGCTTGTTGAATGCATTTTATTCCTTATGAACCATTTACAGAGCCAAATGTTTTGATATATTTTACCTCGTGCAATGCTTCTATCAACATTTGACAGACTGTAGCCCTCTTCTTCTTCACTGCCCTTGGCAGCACTTTCCTGTGTTTCTTTGGGATTACCATAATCTATTGATCAGTGGAGCTGTGTGCGGCCAAGAAAACAGGAGTGTGTATTGTGTGTATCCTCAATGTGCTTGAGTGCATGTATGTGTTTCCTTGTGTCCCTGCACAACAGAAACAAAACAGGGAGCCACTCATATAAACACTGCTCCATAGTGTAAAATCTATTTTACAATCACTTCCTAAAATTCACAGCTGCAGACTTGATGAATTATTGGAAATAATGAAGAAATACCACTTATAAATTCAGATGACAGTAATCCTAGTAATCAAATACATGAGTTGCAACTTATAAACCCATTATTAGGGGTGCCTAATTAAAAGGTGAACCTTGAGGAAAGAAGCATTTAAGAGTACTGATTTATGGGACATCACCTGACAGCAGTAATGTGTGAGCATAGACAGATGACAGATATAAAGATAACAGAGCTTCATGTCTGTCAGTTGTCACTTTGATATCCAGGTACATCTTTTACCACATCGGATCCAAAGATTACACAAGTTTTTGTTGGTGGAGAACGTTCTTCTTATAGCTGTGACGACATCCGGTTGTGCACTAACCTACTGAATGTCGACCAGGAAAAGACAAACATCTGGTTATCACCTGGAGTGATACAAATACACAGCTGACTTCAGTTAGCTGTAACTGAAGAAGTCAAAAATGCTCTACCATTCATTTTAATGTCAAGTGTAATACTGACACTGGGAAATACACAGTATTTAGAAAATATCTCCAAAATACATTGTTACATACAGTTATTTCTTTGACATTCTTTATGAGCGTGGAAGACCCAGTCCGTCCAAATCCGTGTGGATACTTACACTTCACTAAAACACTGAGGAAGAAATAACAGAGGACAGTGGAAGGGATAAAGAGACAAACCTAATAGAACTAACCTAAATGAAACAACCACCAGACAGCAATTGTTCTTAGACAAAAACGTAAATATGATAAATACGCACACATTAAAAAGAAAACCCATCCCACAGTCTTTAAGCATACACAGACTAACTTCCGTCATTGATATCAACTAAGCAGAACACGTGCTTTGTCTATCCCTGTCAACAAAACGTATGCTTGGGTACACTCGGCCCCTGTCTTCGCTTTGCACACACCACAGATACTGCACACAGGCTTGGAGGAAGGTTCAACCAGCCAGTCCCATAATATGTCAGAAAGATGATTGATATAAAACTGCCATTTGTGGCGAGTGAAGCATAGTAGTGCTATCACCATCACAGAATGATAATGATTGATTTTTGTACTGTGGTGTCTGTGTGGCTCCTGGGAAAAGCACGATCGAGGGAGTAAACAGCACTGCACGACACGCTCACTGCACAATGAAACCGGAGAGAGAGACAGGGTACGCTCAGCCAGCTGAGAGCTTCCATGACTGGATAGATGCTTGGACAGTCATGCTGCTGCTCCCTGCTGCACAGTTTGCACAGGATCCTTCAGTTTCCATGAAAAGTATCGCAGACCTCCTCTTCTTCCTGGAGCACAGACTTGAAGAATCCTAGCAGGTTGCAGTACAACATATAGAGTTTTTCATATATTTTATTGGACTCTAAAAAAATAAAATGATGGCAGACAAGCAGCCAGTAGTTGAAGGCTGGACATTCAGATGAATCTGTCTGCTTAGCAGCTCGCTGTGACTTCCTTTTTCCAGAGTAGGAGAAATGACCTCGAAACCAGTGAAGTACAGTGGATGAGACTGTATGCAAGCTGGTGTGCACCAGCCTTCAACAATCTTAGTTCTAAGTTAAAGGCAACCATTTACAGTTGTATTCCAGCTTACTGAATTGCCTAATTAATAAAAGCATTGATCTGTGTCCTATCAGTGAAACTATGCCACCTATGTGCGAGTGTAATACTGAGTTTTAACTGATGCCTTTTGTTCAGTAATAAAAATAATAATAACAATAATCATCATAATAATAGTTATTTTACAAAATACTATGCACAATATACAGTACATAAAGCAATATTTGTGACTAAGTTAGTAAATGCTTCAATAATTGGCACATTTATCACTGCTAACAGAGAGATCACAGTGCACTGTGAACTACCGCTACATTAAATACTTGTACAGCTACTGCTCTGCTAAGGCTGACCATGTATATGTCTGTCTGTGCAGCCAAACCACCTTCATACTAGATAAAACCATTCTGTAGACATTAAAGTCAAGATTACTATTTACATCTTATACTAGTAAGCAAGGTATTTTTATTTAATTTACTGAGGAGAAACAGTAGTTGTGGTCTTTGTGCATGCTTTTGTGTTGTTGTCTGTCGCCCTTGAAGCAGGCAGTCATGACTTGTGACCTGAAATAAAATGAAAGGAACAACCAGAAACTGCCTTAGTGATGGGCCTAAGAAAAAACACTGAAGGAGGCACAGGATCTCGTCTGGCTTCACATCCCCAGACCAGCGGTGCACAGTGCAACTGTCTCATCAGCAACAAGCCTCGGAGGAAAAAAATAAAGTTCAGTCAGAGATCCCAGAGAGGCCCCCGCACGCCTCACACCACCGTACTGATGCCGCTGTGCTTGGGCTTGGTGCTGCTGGGGGCCTGGGAGGGTGGAGGTGGTGGCCCGTGGTGGTGGGGGCCATGAGTAGCATGGGAGGAGTGTACCAAGTGGCTTCCGTGACCGTGCTGTGTGTGAGGGTGAGGTGGGTAGGGCTGCTGCTGGCTGTGAGAAGGGGGTGGATGGAACTGGTGTGGAGGGTGTTGCAAGTGGGCTGGTGGGTGGTAGTGGTGGTGGTGGTGGTAAGGCGGGGGGTTCTGGGTCATGTGGCAGAACTGGACATGGTGTGGGTGCATGGGGAGGGGCGTGTCCGCGTCCAGTCGGGCTGTGTGGTGCAGGTTGGCAGGGTGCGGGGTGTGAGAGATGAGGGTGGGGTGCGGGGCTTGAGCAGTGGGGCTGGGGGACTTGACACGCCTTGTGCCAAACAAAGACCCGAGCAAAGAAGAGGAGTTGGGCAGGGAATGTCCACTGTGGCGAGACGGGCAGTCTCGGCTGGAGGGGGGTCTCCGCCGCATGTGAGGACTGCTAATGATGGAGCCCTGCAAAAGAGGGGACAGTCAGAAAATAACAGACACAGCAGAATGTCTGCTTTTTCTGTCCAGTGAGAAACTGTAGAAAATATACAAATATACCTGCTGCAAATTAAAATCTGGGAAATTTTATGCATACAAAAGACATACTGTATTTGTGGATGTGTAAACACACGGGCTGTGGCTTCTGAAGTATGCACATCCTTGTCAGATACTTCACACGGCAGAACCAACTGCACAATCTCAAATCTAAAATGACCATCCTTGTGGAAAAGTGTCTACATTTTCGTTTGAGGTTCACTGACTTTGTTTGTTTTTCCATGCAAACATCTCATGGTTGACTCGCTCTAAAATACTTTAGAGGCTCAGCTGAGCTTGTCAGAGGTTACAGTGTCGGGACCGTCATGAACAGATGCACGGCTTCTAATTTTTTCAACTCCCTCCATGATTGCTGATACTAAGATGACTTCCTGTCACTAATATATCTGGTTTCCAAGGTTACAGTATCCTTTTTCATTTTGCAGTGACAGAACAATCTGAAGCCACAGACTGTGTACAGTATACACATTTGTATGCTGCACAGTCTTCAGCTGACAAGTTAAGGTTCACTGAAAGTGCACTACTGACTTTACTGATGTTTTGATGTTTTTCTAAAGTCACCCTCAGCAAAACAATTTTTTAAAGGGATTCAAAGCTATGCTTTAACACAAAACATAAAATAACACAATAAATACAAAACAGTCAAACCAAAGGTTTATGTCAAAGCAATGAAGTAGATATTTCAGCGCCATGCATTACATGCAAACTGAACTATTTACAGAAGCTTTAGAAAATCAAAAATATAATAGTCTTGAGTTATGATATCCTTATGTGTTGTCATAAATTGTTACATAATGTGTTTGACTTAACAGAGCAGCCTGATCCTTGCAATAATTCATACAGAAAGTTGTGTAGAATTTATCATTTTCTTCTTAAATATAACCATAGTGCTAAAAAAAGTATAACCTAATTATACATACAGTATTTAGTATTACATGTTTGACAACAAGTAACTTTTCATAGCACTAGCAGTGGGCCTGTATGAAAGTTCTAGTAGCACTAGAATCCTGCAGTCGATCCTAAAAGGTCAAAAACAAACCCCAAACATTATGTTGCACAAGTTATTCATCTTTGCAACTTGTGTGGGTGCTGCTGGCAGAACATGGAGTCACATTTAATATATTAAAAAAAAATATATATATATATATACATATATACAAGTAACCCAGTCTTTAAGCCAAATCAGACCAGGGCCCAGTTTGTCATGTGTGGCTGAACAGACTAACATATTGCTGCCAGCTAACAGCTAGCTTAATTAACACACTGCTGATGTTAGTCCTTTCATGGAATTTGTTGATAAGGAAGGAAGGCAGAAAAAAGAAAGAAAGAATAATGCAGCGTTATCCTTTAAGTTGTCTGACAACAGCTCGCGATTAAAACTAGCAGTAAAGAACTGCAAAACTTAGACTTGTGTCTGATCAACAATTACATTAAACTCAGTTATCTACATGCAAGTGTCCCCAGTCACACATTATCTAGCTTGTGAAAGCATAAATCAATATATGCTTGTGCCTTCATGCTTGTATTCTTTCACTGCAGCACATGGCTCAGTGTGAAAAGGAAAGGGGAAGAACTTCTTGTGAAGGTCAGGGGTCAATGAAAAGAAGCAGTGCAGGATGGTCACTTCAAACTGTGTGAGCATGCAGGAGCTGGTAACTGAAAAACACAGCCAGGTTTATATTTGAGTGAACAAAAAAGGACAAACCTCAGGAAATGGCTAAAAGTCTAACCCCTACACCAGAGAGGATGAAAACATAAACATAAAGGTGTGACTCTAGCATCAACACAGAGCAGCTCTACTATGAGTCAGGACTATTATTAATGTTATGCTGTGTACATGAAGGGTTAATGCATCGGCCACAGCAGATCATTCCCTTTCAGTCCAGTGCATGCAAAGAGCCCAAGGCATCCAAAAACACCATCAAAACAGAAAAAAAAAAGTTCAGAGTAAACAACATAAAGTCAGAGGACAGCTCAGCAACAATCCTACTTACTTCCATATTGCTGTCTAGTGATCCTGCACTGCTGCGTCTCCCACGCTTGCCTGTCCAGAACATGTAACATGACAGATCAGACATGTCTGGTTAACCTGTGAAGGTGCACATATCCTTTTGTCTAGTGCAAGAGGGCGCTAGCACTCTAAGGTGACAAAGGTGCCAGATGACTAGCTAACAGCAGACTATCAGTATAACAGAGGGAGATGAATAAGGACTAAAGGGAGGTGACAGTGGTGTGGTGGGTAGAGCAGTCATCTCCCAACCAGAAGGATGAAGGTTTGAATCTCGTTGCCGGCAGTCCGCGTGTTGAAGTGTCACTGAACCCCCCCGTTGCCCCCGATGGTTAGAGCCATCGGTTGAGGTGGCGCCGCAGATGGCTGCCGTCGGTTCTGTACCGGAAACAAATTCCTTGTGGGTAACATACTTGGCCAATAAAGTTGATTATCCTTATCCTTAAAGGAAAGCAGGTTACTGCCACAGCTCCACGACAAGGTCAGCCTCTGGGATAACTCAAGCTTGGGTGTCTACACACTAATGTGAGACACAGCTGGCAGGAGACCTTCCCATTAGTAAAGAATTGCAGTCTGGCTGCATTAAAGGAATATTTCAACAAGTTAGCATTTCATGTCAATTAAGCTGCAAGATTCAAAGGAGATACATCAAAAAAGAATGGTTCAAAACTCAGCATCACAGGGCAGGACATCCCAAACATTGGTCTCAAGTATGAGTTTCAATCCAAAATCATTGGATCTTATATTTCCCATAATTCAGCCAAACACACACACACATCTGAAAACCTTGTAAATATAATTTTAAGGACACCGCATGACCGTTAAACAACTTAAGCAGAAAACACAGGCCTCAAAATCTGGTATTGACTGGGTTTTATAAAGGCCACCACTAACATGTTGTATCTCATTCAAAAAGCATAAAGAGCACTGATCAAAACCAGACAGCTCAGTTCATCCTTTCATGATGCTTTACAACTCTGAACACAGTGATGAGGTCACTGAGTGAGTTTGTACAATGCAGCTATGCAGTGTGGAGGCGACTCTCTACTACCTGCCTGAACCAGCTGCACAACATTAATTCCTCTTACCACTAAGACGCTCAAGTTGATCGCAGTGACCTACATAGCGCTGCCCCCACCCCCTCTCTGGTGACGCAGAATTATTAGTTGATTAGTTGAGCTTCTTCCAAGTTTCCAAATCAGTTAACATCTAGGAGTGGCTACTATCATGCCAGCATCCAGCTCGGGTATACACTGTATTTTGTCTGGCAGAGGGAGGAGATGTGAGATAGTAGGTTACCAACCCGTGATTTTACCTGCATCAGAGAGGTCACGCAAGGAGCTACTGAGGGCACTCCTCTTCAAACCTTCACCAATGGCATAGCTGTCGTCGAGGCTTGCTCTGCTCAAGTTGCTGGTTCCTGTTTCCTTCTTTAACCCTGAACTCTGGGACATGCTGGGCCTCACCACCCCCTTCTGTTTTTCTAGCTCAGCTGTGCAAGACAAACATATGCAAGCTGACAGTAAAGCCGACGTCCACCATCCACATATCACAGCTGCATCATTGTAAATTAGTTAGACTAAATAATGCCAAATAACCACACAAAAAGAAAACTTTTGCTCACATTCTATCCTGTACTTCTCCATCTCTTGGACTTCAGCAATAGATTCTCGCAAATCATCAGTAAACTTTTTGCGGTCCTGAGGATTGGGTGCATTGAAGTTGATGAGGACTTTAACGTCAGCTCCGGGAATGGCCGAGGTCAGGCGGACTCCATTGGGATAATCTAAACAGTGACGATATCAACAATTTAATCACTGTCCACACAAAATACACACAGACCACTAAGGGGGTCTTTGGCAATTAGGGTTGTTTTAAGAACTTATGCGAACATTACAGTGTAAGTAAGCTTCCAAACAAATGCTCAATCTGAAACCCCTCCCTCCATACCTTGCGTCTGAGTGTGGTGATTTGAAAGCAGTATAAACATATTCAGACAACGCAAAGTAGTTTGTCTGAAGAATACTGGCACCTTTAGGGAAAGTCTCTGTGGTACTTACACTGATTCTCAAAGAGCAGCACTTGCATGCCATAAAGTGAGAAGGACTGCCGAAAGCTGTACGTCACCGAATTCTTCTTCTTCTGGAAAATTTTGGTAACCTATGAAAAAAAGCATAGCATAAAATGTGGTTTACAGACTCTTTGAGGGGCATATCCTTGTGTATTCTCAGCGTGCTAGAAGAAGAAGGTGTGTCATACCACTAGCAGGTCATTAAAGAGGAAGATCTCCCTTTGGTGCAGGCCCAACTTTTGTGGTTTGTTGGGGTCGGGTACTTCAAAAAGTCTGCAGTAACACACCAGTCTTCGGTGGGGTAGGGATAGTACCTGCACACAGTACAGCATCATTTCTGATTTGAAGTACTTACAAATATTTCCACTCAGCCATAAGATGTAGATGACAAAAAGACTAATACTTACACAGCCCAGACCATGGTGTAAAGAGCCAATCTATAGAAAAGCAAAATATACAAGAGTCATTTTGCAGAGATCAGTGAACACATACAGTAAATTTTAAATTCATGATACATCAGAGAAAAGCCAATCCACTTAATGTTCATAATTAATGTTGAAGATTAAGTGTAAATATGGGTCTAATTTAAAATTAAGAATACCAGTTTTATGGATCACAAAGCAAACATATAACTGTCCTTCACAAATGGTCTTTTAATGCTGTTTCCATTATGACATTGTCAAGGTCAAATGGTTGTCTGCTGGCTTATATAGAGTTAGTTTGATGAATGGAGCAAAAGGAAAGAACTCTTGGAGAAAGGTAAAGAATTCTTTGTTATTTCATTTCCCTTTTAGAGAATGTGGATCATGAATAAGCTCACATTCACTCTGACACCTCAGAGGTGCATCGGATAATTTGGTTTTGCATGCTCCTGCTAGATTCAGGTCTTGAATGGAAGGGAAGATAGAAGAGCTCACACTCTACAAGGGTGAGGTCAAACTTACTGGCTTTTTTCCAACAATGAGTTTTTCCACTTTTTGAACCTGGGATACATGGTCTTCATTAGTCTTGAGCTCCCGTTTGCGAATCCTTTCATATATCCCTACCAGCATCTCCCGGGGGATGTCCTCGCCGTCATCCACTCCTGTCAGAGAATGAAAGGAGGAGGGAGAAAAAGAGAGGATTAATGATTAACTCTCAGGTTTATGAGAGTTGATGAACCCCTGAATTTACTTACATACCCCAGTGCTGCACATATATCTCCCAGTACAGAGAGAAACAGCCTTCAGAGCTCTCTGAGGATGAATATTTCTCCTGCATTTAATACTGTTCTTTAATTACTGACACTTCAATAAGCAGAAAAATTAGTTAGCCATGCCACAAAGCCCCTCTTAATACCCTTAAAATCTATTGAGGGCAAATAAAAACTTTAGTGCCTCAACTGCAAATCTTTCTTATATACACTGCTCAAAAAAATAAAGGGAACACTTAAACAACACAATGTAACTCCAAGTCAGTCACACTTCTGTGAAATCAAACTGTCCACTTAGGTAGCAACACTGAT